ATTAGATATCAGAGAGAGAGAGAGAGAGAGAAAGAGAGAAAACTGCTGAGAAAATAACGGTTGTTGCCGAAGTGAAAAATAGCGAGTACAAAGTGCGCACGTTGCTCAACAACGCGCGCTCTAAAAACGTGCAATGCAATTCATTATATACGTAACACAGTCGTATAATTTTTTTCGTTAAAAAATTGTCTTTGTGTTAAAAAAGATATTTTCGTTCAGAGCGTCGCGTCTCTCAGCTGTTCTCGCGCTATCAAAAACGCGTGTCAAACGGTTTATTCCGATTGACTCGATAAGAGATAAGTTTTGTTATCGGTGCAAAACACACAAATGTGTTCCGCCGACGAACCCGCGCGACCCTGAGAGACTTGCGAAAGTCCGCGGGTTGCGCCAACGTGGCGATTTAACGTGTCGGTGAGTCACGGACGTTTTGTAAACTCGCACTAGCGAGCGTTGTCGTGCGAATGGACGTTGATTAAATAAATTAGCAAGAGTGTTTTAATGTTGATAACATGTTCTGGTCAATCAAAAAAGCAAAATATCAGAGTTTAGATTGCATCAATTAGCATCGCGATATGATTCAGAAGTGGAATCGTGTCAACTCCCGTTTTTTCTCATGGCTGCGGGGGAACGCACTTGTGACGAACGTGTCGTATCGCCAATCGCGCAATTATCAAAAATTGCCGAGTTGCGGAATAATCAGCGCGCCATGTAGCGCTCACTCGTGCAACTCGTTTTCGATCGCTTTGCGTTAATTCGCGCGGGCAAACACGCTACGACGCGTCGTCGTTAATTAAACTCGCGCATCATAAAAAAATTTTATAAGCGCGAGCCTAATTACGCGGCTGTTCGAGGAAAAATCGCGATTCGCCACGGCGAACGATGATGATTCGCGCCTCGAATTTCCGCCCGGTCACTGCGCCTCAACTTCTCCCTGTTCGTTCGAGAAAATTTTGCGCGAAACGTATAAACTCTGTTATTAAAACACAACGGTGTATGTTTCGTAACACACGGCACCGCGCTATTTAATCAGTTTAATTTTTGCTACTCGTTAGTAAAATTGCGCAATCGCGAGAGACCGGCACGCGTTCGTCGGTCTTTCATTAAGCGCGAGGAAACGTTGAATAATATTTACCCGCAAAAGTTTCTGGTCCAACGATTATTTCCTAAGCGAATTACCGGAGAGACCGGAATTCGCGTGGGATATTGCAAATAAATTGATTCGAAATGTATTTGAGATTTTTTACGGAAATCAGCGATGACGTTGTTTTATTTCTAGAGAAATTAACATAATACGAACTTCAGTCGAAATAAAACAAGATGCTCAATTAGATCATCGGATACGTAATAATCCAATAAATAAGAAATTTATGCGCACGCTTCTCGTGAATAAATGGCGAGCCTCTCTCTCTCTCTCTCTCTCTCTGTTATCCCTCGGTTGTGCGAATGATTATTATATAAATTCGACATCTCGCTTCGTAATAACCGCTTCCTCGTGCAAAAGAAACGACCCACGCGCGCGCGCGATAATGGGAATCGATTAGCGAGGACAAGCCAATCCAATTACCGGATTCGTTCAAATCGCATTCGGTCGCGACGATAAACGCGAAATTATGCAACGTTTAACCTCAACGTGCAATTGTCTCGTGAGCTTTCTTCATTCTCGTTTGCGTACGGTTTCCCGATTACTCGGCACATATTTGACGATTGCTTCTGGAGTCGAAGTCGATGGAAGAGGTTGAAGAGTTTCGATGAAAACGTTTTACTACAAAACTGCAATTTAAAATATTTAATCAAACTAATGACTCTTCTACATGTTGAAGAAAATTTTTGCCTCTCGAAAGGTCGCTTGAGATTGGCAGTTGTTTTAAATTTGTATCAACAAGAGAATTTTTTTTGCTCTCGACTTTCGTTGGATACATTTCCCTACGTAACAGTAGGATCCGGTTGTGCCGGCTTCATGCCCCAGACTGTGCCGGAATCGTCACAGGCCATTGCCTCGAGATTACAGACTTCTCTCTACCTTCGCCTTCTCTTCGTCCGATTACGTGCGCTCTGCATTATCGTTTTCTTCTCGAGGGAAAGTGAACGAGAGGTGCGACGCAATACTGCGCGCGCGCGCGCGCGCGTCGAACTGCGCCTGGCCACAAAGGTAGTGCAACAGCAATTAATCCGTACGATTGACTTCTCCAAGTTTCTTTTTTCCCACGCCAACGATCTTTGTCCGCGCGCGCGCGCGAGATTGAGTTTGAGAGAATCGATCGATTGTTGAGAGAAAAGAATTAAATGGCGAAAACGCGATACGCGCAGCGTGTAAATCAGATGTAATTTGAAAAACTAAAATTCAATTAAAAAAATCGCAATCTCAAATCAAAGAAGTTTAATTTGAATATCGTCTAAATCTCGGTGCCTGGCTTATGGCGCGCGGACACGAAGCAACGGACTAAAATCGAAGATGTGTGGTTCGTGCCAGCCAGAGCGGCGAGGTTCACCTTTTCTCTGCGCTGATTTACGCTGACTTTTCGTTTATTCCGTCGAATGTCGTCACTCAAATCATCGACGATGTTCGTCATGTCGCAAGAATCGAGAGTTGGAGACAAGAGTCGTGAGTCACGATTTTCCACGAGGATCTCTTTTCGCGAGACGACAACACACAGCGCGGTGTGTTGCAATTTATTTATATTCGCGTGCTGCATATCCGCAAATTACCGATGCGGACGGGCATTTGTTGTCGATTGAAGCACCGCGACAACGATCGCTGTTGCTTATCTAGTGTGAGTCATTGCGCGTTGGCAACAAACAGGACAGTGTGTGTACGTTCGATATTGCGCTATTTAGTACGCGCTTTCTCGACCTTAAAGGCCGACAAGGGCACGGATCGCGCACTGTCTTGTATTTATTCTGAGTACCGTTAAAATTTGATTAGACCTGAATGTGCTAACTTTCGCGCTCTATATCGGCGCTCCGGTTCGTTCGGAATTAGATAACTGTAAAGACGCGGTCTAATTGAGACCTCTTCGTGCAAAATTCGCGCGCCGCCTGTTCGTGTGTGAGATTTTTTTTTTCAGCCGAAATTGATCAAACAAGAAGAAAAAAAAGACGCAATTTGCGTCGAAGGAAAATATTCGAACGCGAAATCGGCTCGTTTCAACTTATCGCACCGCGAGCAGCGGTATTTCTGGCTGGCGGCGTATTTGTGCTGTAAACAACAGCAACGTATCGGCGCGCGACCACCGCAATTGGAGCAAACGTCTCGTCGTCGTCGTCGGCGTCGGAGAACGGGACGCTCGAGAGATCCGTGACTCGCGCGTAGTCGACGACGGTGTTACGCAGTTTCGGCTTTTGTGCCGATCGACTACACGCACGTTGGTTGCGCGTTCGTCTTCCAACAATGAGGCTAATCCCAACTTGTCTGATCTGCGACCCAATTAGCGCCAATTAATCTCAAAATGTGACTTCAACAATTTTACGATCGATCGTCTTACACAATTTCGACTTGAATTACATCATGTGTAATATAGCAATTGTGTACTTGATATAAAATACTTATTATATAAATACACATATTTTATATTACATAAAATATATTTTTTACATACGTATTATTGCAAATCGTGAAATTATGCAATTGACGTCATCGGTTTAGGGAAAGATTCTCAGGGATTGGCTGTAATATCTATAGTTACATATGCACATACACGTATCTCTTCTGTTCGTCGCATACTTTAAGGATCGGTGAACTGTGGAGACCCGCGGCGATCGGTCGATGAGTAACCACGGGAAACCAAGGCCGTGCCTTCCAACTCGATAAACCTTGTGGCACCACGCGACTCTTCGCAAAAGATATATATATGTATATACACGTTACAGAACACATGTAACTTCGCTTGTTATTCACGTTTAAAAACGGCATAACATAACGCAGTTAAAAAGCATATTTATTTTCTCCGGTATTTTTTTTCCGCAAGAGATCCCCCGACGTAACGCGTGTACGTACGTGGAATTACAATTGAGCAAACACGGGCTCTCATTGTGTCTCGCGACTAATTAACGAGATTGCCTCATTTGGTAAATAGATCTTAATTAGTTCGCTTTATTCAGTAATCGGGCCGCGCGTTTTCCGACTTGTGTTATATACATACTACGTCGCGCTATCCGATTGGCGGGGGCATGTTATCGGATCGTCGGGTTAAGAAACTGCACTGTGTGGGAACAAAAGCGGGTTCACCGCGTGTGCGGTCGAAGAGGACGAAACTGGTTCTCGTGGTCTTTTGTTGCGCTCTCTTGTGGAAGTGCGCGTTTTTTTTTTTTTTGTCGAAGTCTCGAGTCTTTTTCCGAAACGAATGCAAAGATTTCTTCCTCTCAATCTGCGGCGCAGATCTGATCTTTCTTTCTGCGTTTTAATTAGCAGCAGAAAAAAACTTTGATGTTTTTTATTTCGAAAAAAAAAAAAAAAACAACAACCGTACTTTCTTCTCAAAGAAAACGAAAGTGTGATAGTTGGCCAAGCGGTCGAATTGCGTCTAATTGTGTGTTAATAAATTTGAGCGAGAATTCCTTTCACTGCGGATTTCAACTTCTATCAGCAACCGCCATCTTGAATACTCTCTTTACGTACGTGTAAACGCTATGAAAATGTGATTTATGAGCACTGACTCACGATGTTGAGTTTCTTTCTTCTCTCTCTCTCGTGAGTTCACCGAATCACGTCCGCAATTGTCCGTAAGAGCCGGTTTCGTGAAAGGAACAAATGACCCCTGCGCGCGAGTCTTTGTGCATCGTGTAATGTTCTTTTAAATACCGAAACGAAATCGTCGGCTCATCCGAGACCCGATCCGAGTTAAATTGTTCAAAATTGTATGCTCAAATATATTTAAATAATAATAAATAAAATAACAATAATGTACCTTTAATATACGTTTTAAACGTTTGCGGATCGACTTTTTTTTTGATTATTCGATGGAAAACGCGCGTCATCGTTTTGTCTTCTGTGCATTTTGCAGAGCTTGGAACAGGAGAGGCATCTGCTGCGAAGGAGACTCGAGGAGGCCAGGGACGAGAGCGAGGCGCGGGCTCTGGAGCTTCAGGCCGACATCGAGACCCTGAGGAGTCAGCTGGAGGAGCAAAATGAAAGAGCAAGGAGAGCGGAACGCGATCAGGCCACGCTCGTCGCTGACTTGACGGCGCAAAACACGCGGCTGGCCGATCAGCTGAGAGAGGCCGCCAAACAGGAAGAGCAGTTGCTCGTGGAGGTGAAGGTGCTGCGGGAAAAATGCGCTCTCAGGAACACCACCCTGCAGGATCACGTCAGCAGTCTGGAAATTCTCCGAGACGAAGTAAATTTTCTTAATCACGATCTTTATCGCCCGACGATCATCAAGTAGATAATTAACTTCTCGCACGTAAAAAACGTTCGATTCTAATAGTCTCTTTAATAATCTTCCTCTTCTTCCTCTACGTAATCGCGTTTAACATTGTGAGTTTCTTTCTCTCGTCGGGGTTTTCTTTTCGCTCTCGAGAAACGGAAGCTGTCATTATCAATCATTAGCCATCGGAAGTCGAAGGCGCGGTTCTCAGACGCGCGAGCTCGCTGAAGAATATAATCAACAAGATCCTTTTATTAAAAAAGGAAGCGGTTAATTCGCGCGTGAACCCGCGCGATCTCTGGGAACGTTCTGAGGGAAAAAAAAAAAAAAAAATGATCTTCCTCGTCGAGATCTCGATTTGTCTCGTGTTCCGCGAGAGGTTTTATTCTTCTTGCCTTCTCGCGCAGCCGGATATCGAGTTTATTATTCTCTTGCGATAAAGTTCGCGCGTTTATCGATCGTTTCAGGTACAACTGGTGTCGGCACAAAGAACCGAGTTGGAAAGGCGGTCGTTGGAGCTGCGGGAGGAGAGGGCCAGGGCGATCGCGGCCCTCGAGGAAGCCGAGGAGAGAGCCACGGCCTTGGAGCGACTCGGTCACGAAGCGGAACACCGTGCGAGACTGGCCGAGCAGGAGAGGTGAGGTCCCACAGATTCCGTATGACGTACGTATGCGGAGCTATGTCGTCGTTAACGCGCGTGAATAACACTCGGTCCGAGCGCGATGTAAGATCTCTGAGAAAATGTCGAAGTTCATGAAAGAAACGAGAGGAGAAACACATAATTCGCATTTGTTCGTGTTTGCAATGTTAAAGACGTTTTTTTCAATATTTTAAATAGTAGTATTTATTGTTTTGTTTTTATTGTGATCTTTTGTATTTGCTTTTCCATGCGCGTCTTCAGAGACGAGCTGGCGTCAGCGTTGGCGGTGATCGAGGCGGAAAGAAGAGTCAGGTCGGGATCTATACAGAGACCGCCGAGGTCGTTGCAGGCGGAGATGGAGTGCGAGGAGAGCGGCACCTCATTGGGAGATCAGGACGACGGAGGTCTCAGGACGGAAGTGACCAAGGCGACGAATCGGCTGCGAGAGCTGTGCGCGCATCTGAGACGTGGCGAGGACGACTCGGGGTTGCAGAGCGACTGCGACGAGTCCATGCTCGTCATCAATCTCAACAATTCCGAAGCCGAGGTCAACACAAATGAGCGCGAAACTCGTTCTTCGCCGGTAAGTGTTGTGATTTATTAATTCAAACATTAAATATTTTTTTACGATGAATAATAAAAACAGAAACGGAAAAGGGCTTTTGGATCCAATATTTTTCAACAAGATTGCACACGTTTTCCATTTTTTTTTTATAGACAAACTGTCCGGGCGCGCTGCTGGAACTGGTCGAGGAGGTGTACAATCTCGCGCTGTCGGGCAGAGGAGCACCGGGCGAACTGGGACTGGCGGTGGAGCTGCACCGAGTCCGGGAAGAGTCGGAGCACCTGCGGGAGCAGTGCAAGGTACAGGAAGAGGAGCTGAAGCGACGCGGTGACGCGATTCTGGAGCTGACGAGCAAGCTGAGCGTCTGCGAGGCCGAACTACGCGGCGTCAAGGAGGAACGCGACCGGGCCAGGTGCGACATCGAGCACTCCGAGCTGACGAAAGACGAGATCGTGGCGAAGGCGTACAAGGTCCGGGACCAGGCGGTGGCCAGGCAGAACAGGGTGGAGGTGGAACTGGCCAGGACGAGGATAGACATTCTCCAGGCGGACAGTCAGCTGAAGGAGGCGATCAAGCAGAAGGTCGAGTTGAGTCAGCAGCTCGAGCAGTGGCAGATGGACATGCAGGCGCTTCTCGACGAGCATGTGCGCAGCAAGCTGACCCCGTCCTCTCAATTAATCGACGCGAAGAACGGCGAGAACTCGGACATGTCGGCGCCGGCCAGGAAGAAGAGGAGCACCGGCTCGAAGAAGATGTTCGGCTTTTTCTGACGAAAGTGACGCAGCGCGATGGCTTCACTTCGTTGAGCGCGATCGCGACTGACTGTTCCGACGTTCCTGACGGCACGAACTCTCGAGTGTATTCACTTTTTCTAAAGACTGTCTAGCGTATGGAGAACTGAGGTGATTTTTGTCGGATTTAACATTCGACAAGATTCAAACTTGTTCCAAATGACACACACACTTTTTTTTGTTTAAGACGAAAGTTCTCTGAACTGATTTTGAATTTTTTGTAGGCTTGTAAAATACTTTGTATGTAATTTGACCAAGAGGTGTTGCATGTAAGCTCTCGAACTCTTGCGAATATATCGAACTTTGCACGTAATGCGCGCGTAAAATGTTCGAGTTGCTTGTAACGAGATTTCCGCCGCGGGGAGTCTAATTGCAAGTGCCCGTGTCGAAACCGCGACTGATAATTCGAATTTAAATGGCGCGAATGTTCGCGTAATAAGAAAAAAAAAAATGTGCGAAACACGCACCGAGACTTTCTACGATTCCTCCACCGGGGAAAGTTACGCGCAACGTGTGCATTCTTCTTTAAATCTTTTCACGAGTGCAAGTTGATTTTCTTTTACAACGATGATCAAGAAAAACGCATCTTTCCATCTCTTCGTCTCGACTGGATCCAGTTGTTGCTCGTTATTTTTTTTTTTGCACGGTTCTGCGATGCAACTCGATATAACTGTCATTATTAGTTCGTTTGAATTTGTAGACCGCTCGTGTAAAAAAAATCTTAATGGCACAAAATTGCGTCGCGTCGTCGATGCAGTCGATAATGAAGTTGATGAAGACAAGCAACTTCGTCTTGCAGACAAAAGGAAAGTTATCGCGTCGATGTTAGCCCCGAGAAATTTCCCGACGGAATTTGACAAATATCTTTTTCTTTAACTGGAAATTTTTTTGCTCAAAAATTTTGTAAAATGTGTTTTCGACCTTTAACTTTGTTCCCCAAATATATAAATTGCGCAGTTTTTTTGTGGTTTTTGAAAATTTACGAAATCGTCGACTAATGAAATTTCACTCGAAATATAATCGTTCGAGGGGGTTCACTTCTCGAAAATCGATCGCCTAAGAGTTTTTTCAGACAAGTACAATTCCTACGAGCTTGAAACGATCGCACATCGAATTATCCGCGACCGTGATTACTTATCATCATCCGTCCATCGTTTTGTCCGACAGGACCAACGAATTACCTGCGATACAACGAAAAAAAACGTTGAATTTCGGAGTTGAAAAAAAAAAAAAAAAAAACATTCGATCGCGATATTTGATAGTATAAATATCAACGTTTGTGTTTCGGCGTGTGACTTTAGAAGTGATACTATACGAATACACATTTCGTGCGTGCGTCACACTTGCGTAGGGAAAATCGTCTGTACATAAAAATTAGTATTTTTCCGAAACGAGCGTACACACACAAACGCGAGGCTGTATAATTGTACAATAAAATTGTTTTTTTTTTGTTTTCTCTCCCTCTCTTATAACTGGCAATTGTATAATTCTCGATCTGATCAGTTACAAGGACGATATTTATTTAATAAAAATCTGTTTTACGAAATCATCACATTTCGCACTTTCTGTCTTCATCGACCTTTTTTCGAATCACGTTTTAGTATTTATTTATTTCTAACTGATAATTTTAAGCGATTTGCAATTATTTGCTTGATCCACCGTATATTTTGCTCGTCTCTTTTCTTGTTGCATAAATGTTTTGTTTTTCTTTGCAAAGTGGGAGTAACGAGACACGTGAAAAGAAACAAATAGGCATTTATTCACAAGAGGCAGGTGTAGTTACAGTAGTTCTTCATTTCTAGCTTTTACATATATATGTATATATATATGTACGTATGTATATACATGTATATATACACATATATGTATTTATAATAGTATCTCGTAACACCCCCCGACTCGTTATTACTCAATCGGTCCAACTACGCGATACAAATAGGCAATGAACAATAGGGGCAGGTGCATACAAAGTGTGTTTATTCTCTCGCACACAAAACAACGCGCCTTAATTTTTTATTTGTGTATGTGTGTGTGTCCGTGTGTACATGTGTATGTGTGTGTGTGTGTGTGTGCTTTGTTTATTCTGTTTTTCTCTGTATGTAGTTTTTGTTTGTTTGTTTGTTTGTTTGTTTTTTCATATATTTCATTCTCTCAACGACAGCGGGATTCCACTTAACAATATTCCTGTGTACACGTGTGCATATCTTGCGTTCAGATAGAATCTCGCTGCTCCGATGATCGCAATTCGCGGTGTTCCGATCGCGGCAAATTGCAAATTTGTGAACCGCGGACGCAAAAACTCGTGTAAAAAAACGGGCGTTTTCCGTCTCGCTGCTCCCTAAAAAAGCGCATCTTCTTCTCGCTCTCCCCGCCCTCATATCGTCTCGGGAGATGATCGATTTCTCGGGCGACGACACTCGGGCGAGAGAGCGTCGTTCGGGAGAGAGTATAACGTCCGGTGCGGGTAAGTAGCGCTCGACTAACCCTCAGAACACCATCGTGAATGTGCCGCACTCAGACTCTTCTTTTTCTCTTTAAATATATACATCTGGTAGTTTTCAATTTTTAAAGTGTTTCGTAAATATGTCACTGTGAGAGTAAACGTATAAGATTATTTTTTTCTTGCATTTTGTAAAACAAAAAGATGTCCGAGTATCAGCGTACACGGATGAAATTAACGGCACATTAAGGGATGGTGTTCCAAACACCGACACTGCGATTCAAATGCCAATCGATCGCTTTCTGGACACGATTTCAATTTTTTTTTTTTTTTTTTTTTCGAATCCTCGTTTAATCGACAAGAAAAAACTTTGCGCTCTGTGCAGCCAAAGCCAACTTACCCGCCGCTCTCTCCCGTCTGCAAAACTCGGTGGTAACAATTATTTGTGATATAGATTACGACAATACGACAAAATGGCGGCTCTTTAAATTTGTTTCTTTATACGTGACGCGATAATGATCATGACAACAATGAGAGGCGGTTTTATTTAGCGACGATAAAATGCGAATACTAATCAATAGAGTCGATCAAGCCAATAAATAATATATATAAATGACGCGAGTCGTCTCGTGAATGCGAGGTACTGTCCTCCACGTGGCGAAAAAAAAACGACAATAATCAATAGAGCAAGTTACAAAGTTACAGAGAAACAATTGGAAAAAGTAACGTACCAGAAAGAGAAAAAGAAAAAGAGAGAGAAAGAAGTAGAAGAGAGAGACAGAGATAGAGAGAAAGAGATAGAGAAAGAGAGAGAGAGACATTATAATTATCAATAAAGCATCGTGTTTTTTTTTTTGTGCAGAACAACTCTTCTATCAGCAGATTCACATTCCTTCTTCGTTTAAAGGGTTATTACATGTCACGGTAAATACAAGTAAAGTTTCGCTATGCTATGTCAATTATAAATGGCCCTTGTGTGTTTCAACCACCTGTGTGAACACAACCTCCTCCCCTCCTTCCCCTTCCCTTCCCTTCCTAGGCTCCGATCCACCCTCTCTCGTTTGAGATTTATTCGCCTCGTGACGACGCATTTTTTTTTTTATTTTTTTAACATCTATATAAAGTGACAGTTAAGCTACGCGCAATTTGTGAGTATGTAACGTTTTTCTTTTCGCACGCGCACGCGCGCGCGCGCGTTGTTACATTACGCTGTTATCTACTTGGGAAGGTATGCGTGCGCGTGTAAATGTTTATGTGTGCGTGTGTGTGTGTGTGTATGTGTGTATGTATGTAGGAAAGGTGAGAACGTGTAATAAACACGTGCGGTGCGATGCGATGATGTGTGAAGGAGGAGTGTGTGTAAGTGTACGTGTGTCATCTTGAACTCAATTAGCTTCGCGCGGCCTTATTTTCCCTACACGTGTACACCTATCGTATTTACATCCACGCCGTGTATATTAAACTCTCGTTTCGCGCGCTCGCTTCCTCGTTACGTGTCTTCCAGAAGGAACGAGCGAGTTAGATATACGAACGAAAAATTCGCGCCGCAACATCCGATCGTTTTCGTAATTCTCGAAAGAGCAAAAATTCAATTTTGATAGTAGTAAAGCAAACACTTCTGGCGCTATTGAGAGAGAAAGAGTTCTTTCAATTTTTTTTATGCACTTCGGAAATTACTTCTGGATTTTTTTCACCGTGCGCGATTCAACTCAACTTCTCGCTCGTTCGCTTTCTCGCGCGACTATCGAAAGTAAATGATTTTTCGCAGAAAACTAAAACGAAAGGAAAATTCCGACGACGATGATGTGATGACAGATAAATATCCTCTCGCGGCGAACTATTTACATAATAATATTATAATAATATAATAATGATGATAATGATTGATAATCGCCTTCCTTTTTCCGATCGATATATACTCATGCATACTCACCCTTTCACGCACACTCTTCCGCAACGCTCTATTAATATCATCTCGCCTCCATTCTTTCCTCGCTTCTCTCAAATGTTTCTTTGTTTTCTCTTTTTTTTTTTTTTTTTTATTTAAAACGCTACATAGAAATATCTTCGTTCTGGGTCCCGCACAACTTTGTAAACTCTCGCAACGACGATATAGCTTGTACGACGTGACCGTCCTCACAGGACGACGAGGATTTTACGCTCTCTAAATGAGAAAGAATCGCTCTCGAGAAAAACAGGAGAAAGTGAAACTTCTCAGTGACTCAAAAAATCAATTGCGTATCTCGTGCTTTTGTCCGAATACATAAATCCGTTGGTAAATTTGAATTTGTTTCGTTTTCTGAAAACTAAAAGATAAATTAATTTTCAAGAAAGTATATTCATGCAAATTGTTCGGAAGGATTCGTTAAACAACGCGCTTCTCAAGAGATTTATTTTAATCCTTGGAGCAACGATAGCAAACTATTTCTGAAACTATCTCTCTGTATATAAAATAATATATATAGTCGATTTTTCAAATATTAATTAAAAATTACATACGAGGAATTAAGGAATATTTTTTTTTTTTTTTTCCGTTCGCGACGTTCCATTTCTGAACCAGCGGCGAGTCATACTTTGTTTTTTTTTGTTTTTACGCATAATCGTCATCAGTGCGCACGCGTGTAAACACTGTAGAGGTGTGGTGGACATGGATTGTGAATTCGCGGTGCGTTTGTGAATTTTAAATGTTATCGCAAGAAAACGGTGCGCACCACGAACCGGTGTGGGCAACCGTTTTTTTTTTTCTAAGTTTCTACAAACAGCGGGCGATCGCTAGTGCGAGGTGCATAGCTTGTACATACGTATCTTCCTAAGTACGCGACGTATGTATGTGTTTTTTATTTTTATTTGTATTTTTTTAGATGTGTAAAACGTCCTAAATTGTACACTCGACTCTTCATGTAACAATGTTTGTATGTGTGTGTATGTTTTTTTTTGTACGAACAATACCTCTCGCATGCATCTAGTTTTTTTTTTTTTTTTTTTTTGAACAGTGATCATCGGCAAAATTGCGGTGGCCTGATATGCATACGATTCGTCGACTGCAACTCGTCGTGCGCCTACGATGCGTCTAGCGACAATAATTATCATTTAACGCGTTCGCGGATATTTAATTATCATCGAGGATAATAATAATAATAATCGTTATTACATACCACCGTTATTTTAAATTCAGTTCGATAGTTTTTATTTTACCCGCGCGCGGACGTAAAAATCTCGCGCCGTGGTGTTTAGTTTTTTTTTTTTTTTTTTGGATAATATAACATTACACCCCGCGCGATTATATTGCGCGCGTGCCAAAAACGACCGACTATACGATCACGTGTGACTGCGGAATATCGTTGCGCACCACTAATTCTCTCGCCTACAACACTGCCCCCCCTCCCTCCAAAACCCCTACGAAGTCTAAAGGACGGTCGCGGTATAAGTATTTGTCGTATCGGCTTCTGTGATTTCTGAGGTGCTGCTGCAAGCTCTTTCCCTATATAAAGCTCCTACTAATTCGCCATAAAAAATAAACTCCCTATCGGCCGTCGTGTAAACGTGCGTGTATTTTTTTCTTTTTTTCTTTTTAAATATTCATTGGAATGTCCGCGGACGTGTCGCTGCGATCTTTCTCAATGGTGTTCCCTCCTTCCGCGCAGAGTCGCCGCGGGAAAAAAAAAAAAACGGCACGTCCGCGCGAGACACTCGGTATAAATCGCGGTGCGTGCGTGTGTCAGTGTACGTGTCTCTGTGTGTATGTATGTGTGTTTGTATGCGTGTGTGCGTGCAAAAGTGCGTTTCCCACACGCGCGAGTATGTGTCCTCGCGTACATCTTCCTTCCTTCCTTAACACTCAAGAATCACACACATACATACATCATGCACGCACAACGCACGCACGCGCACACACATACCCGTAATGTGTGTATATATATATTATATTTATATATATATATATATATATATATATTTATATACGCAAGCTCTCTATAACTCTCCTCGATTCTCCTCGAATGCCTTCGCGGATATACGCTTACTTAACTACTACGCTAACTACAGCTGCTCACACTCACTCCCCGCGGACACGCACACACACAGCAATGACAATTCGCTCGCGACAAAAAAATCTCCTCTCGTTTTCTCGCACCTAACTAAAACCTTCCCGTTCTCTTTCGCGAGTTGATTAAATTTAGCGCAATTTAAATCACCACCTTGTATATATACAGATGACTCTTGTGTTCTCTTTTTTTTTTTTTTTTTTTTTTTTAACTCTTCCGATTTCTCTTCTCCGTTTCTTTTCTAATCTTACGTTTTCTTTCCTCCCCTCCCCTCTGTCAATTCCACGCAAATGCGCCGCCTTTCAAAAAGATGGTCGCGACAGAATTGATCCGACATCTCCGCCGTTTTTGTATTTTTTTTCTTCTTTCCGAAACACAGACAACGGCAAAAATACTCCCGCAATTGCTCTCTCTCATTTCTTCATCGGACGCAGCGTTAAACATACATAACGACATATCGACATAGGTAAGCGTAGTCCACTATAGCTGTGGTGTAGCACTCTGCGGAATTGTTTTCTTGTATTTTTTTTCTTTTTTTTTTTTGCGAAAATTCAGTCGTTTATACGTCAAGTGAAGAAAGTACATCCATTTGCTCTGCTGACCCGCCTCCCGGCGCGCGTCAGACACGCCTCGTCCTCGCGTCTATTTAGGGGTTGCTCTCCCAGCGGGCGAGTTGTATACGCCTGGTGTCCAGAGAGGGCGAAAGCAGCGACTTGAGGGACGCGCTCGGCGGCGAGCCACCGAAGTACTTGAGGGTCAACGGCGACTGCAGATGCCTGTGTCGGATCACCTCTCGCTCAGCAGGCAGTGGCCAGAGTTCCTAGCGAACAATCGGAGAACTGATCTGATTAGTAAAAACAAAATATCGCAATATTCCTGAAGTGTTTTCCGTGCAATTTCAATGTGGTTTACCTGCAGCGAGAGAGCCTCGTCTCAGGACTCGCCCTGCTTATTTCTGCGACCAGTCAGGGACCCGACCAAAGACTTGAGCGTCGCACCTAATCCTCTACCGCTCGGAGTGTTGAGACTGTTAGCGTTTCTAAAACCTTGTGGATGTGCGTCCAAACATTTTTGGTACCTCAGCTAAAACAAGGGAAGAAATGTCTCTTCGATTGGAGTTTCATTTACTTTTACTTATGTTTCGCAGTATAGATCATGATTCTTACCTTGCAAGCAGCTTCGATTGTCTTGCAAAGGGCTCCACTGCTAGGCTCGCAGTTGAAGACGTGTGCGATGAACAGGTCCTGCGCGGTGTGCATGATGAAGGCGCACTGCTTCACGTTGCGACCGATACCGAGGAACGACAGGTAGCGCACTCGACACTCGGCAATGAGCTTGTCATCCTGCGCGAATTTATGAATTTTGTAAGGAAATCAAGTTTTTGCTTCACGATTTTTCGAACATTTTTAATTTTACTCACGTTCGGCGTGTGAATGGAAATCATGCTAGGAGCTACAGCAACGTTGACGTTTCGCCACTGATTGATCGGCGTGTTCGCCACGATATGTTCTATGGCGTCATTCAAGACTTCCATGCCAGTCGCTTGACTGACCTGCATCGAACCGAGATATTGCGCTCGCAACACTTTTTTCGGCTCTTCCATCGGCGTCGGAAAGGATTGTGCTGCGCGCAGAAAGAAGATAGAGATATTTAATTTTTTTTTTTCGAATAAAATATTGCTCTCGTCAATTCACGACATTTCACACAAAATGTAATTTCGAAAAGATAACAAAAGAATTTTATCTGAGATCACTTACTGACTAGTGCCTGACCATTTCTATGGAAGCGCCGATGTTCAGTGGGCAGGTTCGTGGGTCTGGTGGCTAGGCTCGTTCGGCCGTTTATGTCCACCGGTTTCGCGAGATTCTGATGCTGGGAACGTTCGATCATTATCTTCTTGCAGATGTCGCGAAGCGTGTTCGCGATGGTGCGCGCCGGTATGTCGCAGCGAAACACGTGGCACATGTGTTTCCGCGTCGATCGGTCTCTTGCCACGTAAGCAAAGTCCCTTAAACAGCGTGAATTGTTTTTTTTTTTTTTTATTTTATTCCTCGTCATGCAAATAATTTATTTCTTATATTTTATTTATATTTCCTCATGTCGCTTACCTCTCGCTGTCACGCCCGTCCAAAACCAAGCAAACAATCATGAAAACAACGTAAAAATACACATTAGTAACATTACGTCTTTCGTTTCAAAAACTTCAAAAGTTCTAAGTCGCAGAATTCGCTTTCCTAATTTGCTCGAAGGTAATAATTCACTCACCGACAGTGATCTCTCCCCACACCCCACACCCTGACTGTGTGAATAGGCTGTGTGTTGAGTACAGTGAGATTCTCCGGATCGATCAGCTTGAGTGCGCCCTCGTCCAGGTCCATAAATAGATCCTTACCCTGAAATATTTTGTAACGTATCCCTCATCGCGCGTTTACCGGTGAAATCAATAATGCTGTGTCAGTAACTCAAAGGAGGACCCCGAACGTCCCAATTATGTTTTTGAAGGTCACATCTCTAATTAAAATTTTCCGTCTTTCATTTACACGTTTTTGTTGTTCTGTTATAAATTTTACTTGTTAAGTAAATAAAAATAAAAGAAAAAACACTTACATCGCCCCATCGCCCGACGACGTCCAGGAGATCGTTTCTACCTAATGAGAGATCCACGATACATTTGTTCACAGCCTTGCTGCTTCTCTCGGGCGTCAGATCCTCTTCCGCGATCTCCGTCCAACCCAACGATCGCACGGCGAATCTGATCGGCTTGTCTCTGCCCTCCGAATCCGCTCTGGCGGGGTAGCTTCTTCGTCTGAGGAAACGACAAACGAAATAATAAAACCGCTGACCGATCGTCACCAAGACGCGAGAGAAAACAAAAACAAAGTTCACTCACTTAAGCGCTAATTCGACTTTCCTCTTGTTCTCTAATTCCTGATCCAGGGCCGAGCTTGTGTTGCTGCGAGTCACCGTGTTCACCATGCCGCTCAGAGTGTGAAAATTGTTTATCTGCGACGCAAATAAAAAAAAAAAAAAAAATTGCACGTTGCACGAAATTGTTGTTTGTTATATAAACAAACAAAAAACAACAAATCAGGACGCATTTTAATAGATTCTGTGTGCGTGTGTTTGTTTTTACTCACGCTATCGTTATCCTTGACCAAGCTCCGACGCGCCTCCGATTTTGAGTGCAACGGAGCCTCCGGCGGCTCTCTTTGAATATTGCCGCTCTTCACGTGCCAGTAATAAGGTCCGTTCTCGTCTGAAATAACATTCGATCGATCGCGAAAGAGTTCGAATTTAAAACGGTCGCACGTCGAAATAGTCACGTACTACTTTTTTAGTCGTCATCTTCTCTCGTCGACGTATCGTTTTTCACACGTCAACGAGAGGGAATAAAAAACGTAAAGAAAAATTAAGAAAACGACGCAAATCAATAAATCACATCCTTCAACAATTAAAACGCTAATTAAGTAGATATTTTTGACTAACTTTGTTGTGACAATTAATAAAATCATTAATTAATAAAATTATTTCAAACTTCATTCTGCGTTCAAAATTCCGAAAATATCCATTTGATACGAGGGAATCGTGCGTCATCGCGCATAGTAATATTTAACGCTAAATAGGATCCATTATGCTTCTTCCAGCTCAGAAATATCGATCGCCGGCACAGCTACGTTGTACGTGTATATATATGTGTGTGTGTGTGTGTGCTCGATACTTACCCTCGTGCTTCTGCCAACCCGGTGGCAGATTCTCGTCTTTGTCCTCGGAATCGGTGCTATCCACGTCCGTCGGTTTCTCCTGGATATTGTCCTGCAGAATCGCATTGTTCTTCTGTTCCTTCGGTTGTCGTCGCTTCACCGGCACCGCGTACAGCTCGCTGTTCAGGCTACCCTCCACGTGCGGCACACCGCCCATCTCTGCAGTTTCGTTGTCGGGTTTCTCGCAGTAACTGCGGACCAAGATAAAGAGGACGCGATTCATCCCGGAAGTTCGTCATCGGAATAACGTCAGACAACACAAAAAAAAAAAAAATGTCTAAAAGCGACTTGTTTAGCCCTCGGAGAGCGCATTCTTCGGAGAGCTGCGGCTCGATTACTTCTGGCCGATGTTTTACTGAATAACCAGTCTCTTCAGCGCGCACAATTGCATGTGTTTTTAATTAAAAATGGTTTTTAATATTTTCTTTTATTATTTACATTTTTTATTATTTAATCGTGGGTACAACGTAAAAATTATTCACCGAGTGACTCGGCCAACAATTTGAAGAACGTCTGGATAAGTTTTCGGACGTCTTTTAAAGAATTTTGTTGTATTGTCTGTATTTTTGGTTTAATCTACAGGCGGATTTTGCTCTGGTGTGCTGCATGTAGGTTAATACACAATAGAAGCGAGTATAAGAAAAAGTGTTGACATGCTTTTAGATCCATCGTAAAGTTTCGAATTCTGCGCGTGCATTTTTACAGATAGACAAAAAAAAAAAAAAAAAAAAAAAAAAAAAAAATGACGAGAGTCGAGATTTTTGGCTTCGGAATCGAGAGTGATTATAAAAAATTGAAGGTAGGGATTGTTGTTCCGACTCTCATTTAATCGGAGAGAGAGAGGAAATCATACAGTGCAGAGACTAGAAATTTGTTTGCAGCGTCACACTACGAGAAGCTTGAAAAGAAACATTCATTTTTCTACTTCGGGTTTCTATTTTGGATCTGGAAAACATCGCTCTTGATGACCGCTACTACTCTACTTTATTCTCGGTTCCGTTTACGATTTAATCTGCATATTTAAATTCGTCGTGAATCGTCACAAAGGCTGGTCACGCGACCAAGTTGCTCGGTGAAATTCTCCCCTTTCTTCCTCTCTTTCTCTCATTCCCTCTCGTGGGTGGTTACAACGTGAAAATCCACGGGGTCGCGTGACTTTGGCGAATTTCAGCCCGCGACATTTCGGGACCGAACTAACTGATGTGATCGCCGAAATAATCGCGGTGCTGATGATTTATCGCGCCGACGATTGTCCGACGGTTTCGCGTTTGTTTCGCGTTTTCCCCTAATCTGTTTTCCGACCGGTTCCGTCGAATGCCGTTCACGGCGATCGTCATCGACTGCACGACCGAATGACAAATTGATTTCCGCTCGTTAGAGATCGTCCGTCCCATCTCTCCGCGCGATCAATTCTCCCCCGTGACAAAGTTTCTCCGCCGTCGCGTTTATCGCCGTCACGAGAGAAATCCTCGCGTGCCGATCAAACGCGACGCGGGTCGGTGAGAGATTATTTTTTACCGGCGGCCGTAAAAAGAAAAAGAAATGTCCTCCGCGAAGACAAATGATGTTTTCTTAATTAAATGTCGCGAATGATGTGCGTGAAAAAGAATATTGTCCTGGAATGAAGATAATTTATGTACGCGGCGAGGAAAAAAAATCGTAACAGGTGTCCGTCGTACCCAGCAAGTGCTAGTTCGCAAAAAAAACAAAAATCAAATTAAAATCAAATTAACAAAAAAAATACGGTCATCGGTTCCGACACGTGCGCAAACGGTTCTTTAAAAAAAAAATTATACGGTACTTTATTTATTGCATACGGTGTAGTGAGGGATGTATGAGTGAGATAACGTCTCGGAAAATAAGTGTGCGGTTCCAAGCAAGCGTTTCGCAAGTCAATAAGTGCCCGCGCTATATCTTTCGTCTGTCAAACTTAAAAGTCAGTTGAAAAGAACGAATACACTTTTCTCTTCCGTGTAAAACGTCAGGTTGCAACATACTTTCTATCTAAAGCAAGGTGCGCAAGAAGAAGGAGCAACAACTCTACTACTCGTAAATGAGTTTTTTTATTTTTACTTTGTAGTGTACGAGGACCCCGACACAAGTTCAACAATCCACCGGCGGCGTATAACATTTTGTTGTTATTTACTTTCTGACGCAAATACACGACAGATTTTGTTTGACATTCATCTTTCCACACACACACACACACACACACACACTCTCTCTCTCTCTCTTTTTGCTCACACACCGTAAAAAATTGAGAAATTAATTAAAAATCGTCTTAATGTATGCAATTGTTTATAAAATATTACAAGAATCACGTGTAGATAAATACAAAAAAGAAACTTTTGAAGAACACCGCGTCGTATGACTCGCTCGAAGTGAGAAGAAAACACGAATCGCGATTTTCGCGTAGTTTTGTCCGCACGCGTAGCAACAAAGTGCGACAATATAACTCGAATACACCGGGAGACTCTACAAACAGCTGCCTAGATTGCTCATATCGCGCGGATTAGGTTGCGTTTTGTCTCGAGATTCTCGTTACAGCGACAAACAAGAAGCAACAACTTGGGTACACAAAAGAGGACGGACAGTATAATGTATACAGGCAAGCGGATGATCAAGACGATCTGGCAAAAGGAAAGTTTGATGCTGGCGGTATGGGTACGACGAGACCAACCAACGCGTTTCGTACGTACTTTCTCAACCCGGAACTATCCGCAGTGTCGATCGATCCCGCGAATCCCGATTGTGGCGGCAGGATCGCGCCCGACAACGACGTGGACGACGAGCGGGGATTTCCGTTGAGGGTGTCGTCGACGAGGGCGGACTCCGCCACACCCTCACAGCCGTACCTGAATCAGTATCGTTCATGCAACGCATTACAAGAGAATGAATCGCATCGGCGATTATTCATTAAATAGCTGGCGACACAATCGCCTGTTAACCCTTAAGTGCGTCAAGTTCTTCGCACGATACTTTTCTACTGTTGTTATTTGTTCAATTTGTTTTGCAAAAGAGCATTTCAAGCATTTAAGGGTTAAACTCGACCTGGTCAAATTTATACTGCTATTTAGTGTTATTACTGTTTTCTCCAGCATTTTCCATTAATTCAGGTTTTAGAGACTAATTTAAATAAATGTTTGATAAAAAATGTTTTGAAAAACATTTGAAAATATTTAAATATTTGTTTATCATTAAGTTCTTGATTATTAATCGTATTTGTTTTATACGTATACACATATACAGAGAAAAAAGAGAGAATAAATATATTTTCAAAAATATTTTCCAAATCTTTTGTCGGTCTGTGCAAAAGTAATTCTCGTTGTTACTGTTGCAAATTTTTCAGTGTCCAAAATCTGGCTACATTTCTCTCTTCCTTTCTCTCTCACTCGAGAGATGGACTTCTATTGCGTTTTTTGTTGTTTCGCAGAAATTGCACGGCTGCAGGCATTTTAATTAACAATCGGAGAACCGAGTGCCAGGCACCGACGCGTGGTTAGTACAGGGTTGCTAACCATGTCGAAGTAATTAAGGGATTAGCCGAGCGGTTTGCTGACTAACGCCAGCTGCCTCTCCTGAGTATCGTTCGGGCATTATAGAGAAGCACCTAAGGGCCACGTTTCCCTTTGAACGTGCTCAAGGAGCACGGATACACCCGGACTTCGAGGCCTCTAATCGCCGGGATTATACAACGAACTACGCGAGTGCGCGAAAGAAAAACTTTTTCCCGACTTCTCGGGGTTGGTTTTCCGCTCGCGCGCGCGCGCGCGCAAAAAAAATAAAAAAAAGAAGTTCCATCCTTGCCGAGACGTTGAAAATTTAAGCGGGGTCGAAATACAAACAATGCAACGTTCGCTATAACCGGAACAGCAAATCCCGTCTCCGTTTGACAATCTCTTCAACTTGACGCAATTGCAACATTTAATTAACAAGTTTTTCTAAATCCGCGTTACGTCATTTTCATTATATAAATTTCTGTGTTAAGACTCGAACGCGTGAAACGTTGCGCATCGACACACATTCTCGGCGCATTCCCGACTTCGACTTAATTGCGCGATAATAACCGCGATAATTTCTCGTACGTGCCGCTAATTGGTGAACCCACTTCGTCACACTCGTAACAACGGGAGAAAACTGGTAATTGCGCGCTACGTGAGCGGCGTGAAAAAAAAAAAACATTTTTTTTCAAGTATTTCCGCGCGGCGTTGCACAGCATCGAGAATGGAAATGGAAATTTTCGTAGAAGACTGCCGCGAGAAGTTCGCGAAAAAAAATCGAGTAGAAATAACGTCCGAGGACGTTTCACGATTAGCATACGGAAAAGAAAGAGAGAGAGAGAGAGAGAGAAAAGAAAATCATGTTTAATTTAATTTACAAAGAAGCAAGAGGGACGACGACGAGAACGTCGCGAACGACATAATTTCGCGTAAGTATGTGGGTTAGGAATGGCACGAGAGAAAGGGGAGGTGCCTTGGAAATTCGCCAGAAGTTTCGCCACGGGATTCCCCTGTATTTTGTTAGGGGCGAGAGAGAGAGAGAGAGAGAGAGAGAGAGAGAGAGAGAGAGAGAGAAAGAGAGGGTGGCGCAGAGCGATCGATGAGATATCTGACGTGTCTGCGGGAATTCCTCGCTGTGTGTTCGATCGCCGCGATCAACCGGACCCGGGAATTCTTTCGACGTCGTGGGATGCATTCCCTTTCACTACGAAATTCCGACAATTCGTCGAATTATTAAACAAATATCCGCGCGACGCGCGTTTGATTCGCGACGTTATTAATTGATCGTGATATCGCAAATCCGAAAATCACACAATATCGAAATCGGAATGACGCACATACGCGATTCGTTTCACAGAGGAGAAACGTTAATTCGATTAGCCCGATTGTCCAATCGTTATTAATTCCGTTAATCTCGGAATTGGCGATATGTCGCAACGCTAGTAGAACCGGACAATTCGGTTATTGACATCAAGAGGGAAAGAGAGGGGGGGAAGGGGGAAATACGTCAATCGATCGACCGAGGCATACGTGGCGATCAATGATCGTCCGAATGGGCGACGATGCGGTTAATTTGAGCGAAACACTCCGCGAGATTCGCGTCTCGAGCGACCGTCGCCGATTCGATAATCGAAACGCGACACCTTACGTAAGACGCAAATCCGAAGAGAAACATTCGACGCGCGCGATTCGAAATGTTTCCAAGAGGAGAAAAAAAAACCGTGCGCGTAAAAACGAAACGTTCGTCCGTCCGGTAACAGGTGTTGGATAACACAGTCGGGAGTGCGTTAATCAATTAGCGAAAATAAACTAATCGTAACGACGGGAAATCCGGCTTTTGAAAGACGGCAATTGTAATCTAGACGGTGCGTCAACCGAGCTTTAGTCAGATGTAATTAAACCTCATTAGGTCGTAAGGTGAGCACCTGACGCACTTGGCAGAGGCCGTAAATTACATTGGCAAATCTCTCTCTCTCTCTCTCTCTCTCTGTCTGTCTCTCACCTCTATATCTCACCGCAGTATTCGCAATTTTATGGTTTCTGCACTCGCGGAACGCGGATTATTATCTTCTCACTGTATATTGCTATCGTCATAAATCACTTGTTTTCAGACACAGCACACGTGACTCAAATCAATGGATATCGGACGTCAAACGATCGTCGTTTCTTTAATCGCAGAAACAACATTACGTATAAAAAACGTTTAAGAAAAAAACAAGAACGGACGTTCGCATATTTTTACGATTTGTTTTTTTTACCATCAAACGATTGTGGAATTTTGCTGGTTTTGAAATCTCACACTAAGTAATTTAACACCGATACAATGGAGTTTCTGGTCGCGTCGAGTTTTAACTCTCTGCTCTTCGTATTTACGTAACCGCGCAATTTCTTTTTTTTTTTTTTTTTTTTTTACTACCCGCGGGACTCGACCGCAGTTTTGACTGAAATACAGAGAGACAGAAGGGGAGAACGAAAAAGGAGAACGTAGATTACAGTGTCGGAGGCTCGGTATTGCCTCTCTCTCTCTCTCTCTCTCCCGGGTGCCTGTAATTCTGTTGGTGTTTGTCGATCGGCAAAAAACAATGGCCGATCGAGCGTGACGTGGATATCAGCGAGGAGGAGTGTATATACCTTTGCGCGAAGAGAGTTCGAAGAGGAAAAGAAAGAGATAAAAAAAAAAAAAAGAAAGAAAAGCGAAAAAGCCTAGCGAGGAAAAAGTGGCGCACGGCAGAAAACACCGTGTATAGGGATGGACGTCCACACGGGGGCTCTTCGCGAAAAAGAGAAAGAAAGGAAAGAGACCAAAAGAAAGAGAGAAAGAGAGAGAGAGAGAGAGAGAGAGAGGTGAGGGGGCAGGTTGCTCTTCTCCACGCTCGATCAATACACACTACCAGCAGCCACCCGACCGACCCACCCTAACTCTCCACGTCTCTGCCCCACGGCACAACTCTCAACCACTATATGGCGCTCGTCCGCAACGTCACCCCATTTCGAGCTCTCTCTCTCTCTCTCTCTTTCGACTACAATTGCACATCTACATAGGATGACATGACCGAGTAGTCAATACAGATCGCCGTCGTATTGAAGGAGAGTTGTCATCGTCGTTTTTTTTTTTCCGGCTGAGTAACTCAACATTGACACTGCGATCGACGAGCGATCGGTGAGATCCAGAGGATCATCCCTGTGAATCTCATCGATGAGGACGCCAGGTGACGGAATTCGTTCACATCTGATGTCACAAAAAAAAAAAAATCGTAATCACGAAGCGATTACGACGTTACTGGCTGATGCTTTGCACAACGGTCACTATATATAGTTAGAATCTTATCGAAGTCGGGAGGAGGTATTCCCCACGGCCCTTTCGCCCCTTCGAGTGGCTGACGATATCGCGCATAGCTCGCCGAGGTAATTAAGTTTCAGCCGATCCGATGGGAGGAAGTCTCGAGGGCTTCAAAGAGCTTGCTCGTGCGGCTTCTCCAAATACATCGGCCGCCTCGCAATTAAGCCGCTATTACAATTCGCACAAAGACGTTTTACTTACACGCGAACTGGGAAGATTTTCTTATGTAGCGTTTTCGTCTAGAAAATTAGGTCTCGTAGTCTCTACAACAACATCGACGAAAAATAAGGCCAATGAGAGTCAAATTGCGAAACGTTGGTGTAAAAAAAAAGACTTTTCCCATCTGGTAAAACATCTTCGCAATTTCGATCCTAAAATTGGATCTCCGTCTCGATGTGAAAAGACTTAATACAATTTATGGATTAACGCCGTCGGAAAGGGGGAGAATCTCTCTCTCTCTCTCTCGCGTTAATCCGTTCCTTATTTAGACGAATCTTTACGTTTCCGCGGAAATCTCGCGCATCATCTAACAAAGCGATCTTCGCTTCGCGCATAATCCCACTTCTCGCAGCGTGTGTTTACGCAGCTAATTTTCTTTCATGCAAATACGCGCGCGCGCGCACCACTCTCTCTTATTAATTCCCTTCGCACTTCAAACGCAGTCTCTCTAACAGCGCGGCGCCCACCCTCGCGCGATTATTACTGATTCGCGCCGTCTTATTAAGATAAGCCCGAGCAAATCAGCACTAAAACTACACCGTGTATATATACACACCGTGTAGAGTACAACATGATCCCCTCGTTATCTCGCGGAAATAAGCTCGCTCGCTTCCTGAAGTCCTGACGTTTACCAGATGTTTATCTCTTCATCATCGGACGGAGACCGTCGTGAAATCCTCCACAACGGGGCCGCACGACGAGGACCTTTACGACGTATTACGAATCGCGTATTTCTCGCCGATGTTGCTCTTTTACGCACCGCAGCCCGTAAAAAGCTTTATGATCGGTCGCCGAT